GGACTCGGAGCTGAGGCTTCATTTTTGTTTTATGGTTATTTGTTGAATGTAAGCTCAGGGCTGTATTGCGTTGAGTTGAAACTCCATTTTGTGTAACCAAGAATGTTCTTGGATAAATTTGTAAGCCTGTAGGGCATTTATTATCTGTTTGGCTTTTATTTCATACTTGTTGTAAAATGCATGCCTAGGATTGGAACCGGGGGCATTGAGATGTGAACAACATGTATTTGGCATTTGGGATTAAATGGAAATGGATGTATGGAATAGTTAGCTAGATATATGTGTTTGTCTATCAGGTGGGTTTGTTGTATAAATAGATATGCCCTGCCCAATTTTTCGGGGCGTTACAGTTCGAGCGGCAAGTTTTGCGTTCGAGCGGGGTACGCAACCCCTATTTTCTATATATATGTGTTTAAGTCATTTTTTAGGGTTCATGCTTTTAGATCTGCTTTGGGGGCTCTAGGGTTTTCTTTTAAGACTAGTTTGCTTGTTTTCCTTTGATGCTTGCTTGAGTGTTGAACTCACGTGGTTGGATAATATACATCAAAGGGTTGTTTGAGTGATTTTCTTCGATGGAATCCGAAGATTCAAGCATGGAGTGTCGAAGGTGTTCGAAGCTATGCGCAGTCGTTGAGTCGACGTGGATGTTGTGGAATCAACATCAATCTAATCAATCCTGAGACGAAGGTTGCAGTGGAAGATATACAAAGCGTTAAAGACAAATTGACAGAGTTTGGTAATTTGTTTGGATATTTTGTATTCTTTCTTTCCTTCATAGTAGATTGATTTGTGGCGTTTCGCCCGTGGTTTTTTATTACAATTAGAGGTGCTCCAATAGTGCATTTTTTCCACGTAAAAATCGTTTGTATCTATTTATTATTTCTAAAACAACAATCTAAATCACTTTCGTACGTGCTTGATGATTTAGATTGTTAGTTTTAATTATTTGGGAATTGTCACTCATCATTATCTAATGAGACTTGCATTATAATTCATACAGAATATATACACAATATTCATGTATAGAAGAGCACATTTATACAATTAGGCAACAAATATATATCATATAGTTGCATACTTCAACCACTCAGCAATTTTCAATGCATTTTATGCATAACTTATCACATGAATGCAACTTAGGTCTTTTCTAGACACTCTATTGCTCATTTGGACAAGTGTGTGAGTTATTAATTATGCTCTGATACCACTTTGTCAAGGCCCGAACACGCCCCTATAGATTAGGGTCATAACCGGCCAATAATAATGAGATTACCTACGGCCTCAGTCAGAAATCAAATTATATTTAATTACAGGGGCCAAATAGCGGAATCAAGAACTTACGAAGATTGTCCAATGAGCTGTGCAAACATGGCTTAACCAAAAAATTTCTCATAAAAGTGTAATAACTCACACTATGCACACATCCATATTATGTACTACATAAGTCCAAGATCGTTCAAGAGTCAGTGTTAACAAAAACCAAGGTTATACACAACTCGGCTACATATGACCGCAAAAGGACAAAAGGAAAAGTAAAACAAAACCAAGGCCTCTTGCGTGAGGCGACCTTGGTTGACTCCTCAAAACTCGGCTCCTCTTAACTCACTGAGGCTGGGGTTGGACACCTTATTTCTCACCTACACACATATAAATAAAGAGTGAGCTAACGCCCAACAAATAATACCAAAATAAAGGAGTTCATGAATGAGATTCGTTTAATCATAAGTTATAGACCAAACTTGTGGATCGATATCAACACAAAACGACCTTAGGTCCAACATATCATATATCATATCCGTATTCATGTACCAAACGACCTCGGGTCCAACTCGTATTTGCAGAACGACCTTTGGTCCATTATATACAAAACGACCTTAGGTCTAATCCTTAGACAAAACGGCCTTCGGTCCAATATATGCGAAACAACCTTAGGTCCACCATACGTAAAACAATCTTGGATCCATTTCGTATACAAAACGACCTTGGGTCTAACCAATCCATATTCACATTTGTGTGCACTCATGATCCATGATCATGTTTACATTCACTTTCGCATTCAAAACGATCTTAGGTTCAATCATTTCTTTATCCAAAACGGCCTTAGGCCCACGTTATATCCTCTTCAAGTAAACCGAACGGCCTTAGGCCCATTTCATAATCATATATCATTTGCTTCACATATTTCATTCACGGTATCAATCAGAAGTTTAGAAACTTACCACACATGTATCATTTAGCAAATAATACATATATACTCAAGTTATCGTTACTAAGATATTACTCACAGTGTTCCGGTGCTTGATTCGTTCTTGCACTTGACCCTAGAGGCTTCAACCTTCCAAATATTAGCTAGTTCTTAAGCTAATTCTCCCAATTCTTGAATTCTCCACCAAAATCTTCAAGGATGCTCTCTTCCTCTCTCTAAAATTGGCTCACTCTCTCTCTAGAGTGTTTATTTTCAGATTTTGAGCTCATGTAACGAGCTTAAGCACATTTAGCTTCTATATATACATTTCCCTAATCAACCTTAATTGGAACTAATTAATTGTGCTTAATTTAATCAATTTAATGTAATTAATTCGATCTGAATCAATTTTTAATTAAATTTCACCGTAAGCTCTAAAAATTAGGCTAATCGCCATAACACAGTCAATTTCGATTTTTGTCGCCTCTACGATCTTCAATTGAAATTTTATAGCAGAAAACAGATAGAAATTCAAAAATACATATAATCATATAATTAGCATTCAAAATCATATCAAGCTCATAATTATAAGCATAATTAAGATTAATTAGCATAACACAGAGTAAGGTTGTCACATAAGATATCTCAGATTTACTCATAACATTGTGCTAAATTATACTAGATATCCAGCAGTACTTAAAGGATACTGTAATGCAAATTGGATATCAAATACTAGAGACTCAAAATTCACCAGTGGATATGTCTTTACTCTTGGTGGTACGACTGTATCTTGGAAATCTTCCAAACAGCCTTGCATTGCTAGGTTTACTATGGAATTAGAATTTATAACTTTAGAAAAAGCTAGGGAAGAAGCAGAATGGCTTCGTCACTTCCTTGAAAATATTTTAATGTGGCCAAAACCGGTGCCTACTAGATGCATACATTGTGATAGTCAATCAACAATAGGTAAAACACAGACTCATATGTATAATGGTAAGTATATGCATACATTGTGATAGTCAATCAGCAATAGGTAAAGCACAGAGTCATATGTATAATGGTAAGTCACGACACATTTGTCGTCAATATAACACCGTGAGATAACTACTCTCTAATGGAATTATTTCCATTGAATATGTGAAGTCTAAAGACAACATAGCAGATCTACTAACCAAAGAGTTAGCAAGAGAGTTAGTTGAGAATTCATCGAGGGGAATGGGACTTAAGCCTGTTAAAAAAGAGTTATCATAACAGCAACCCAACCTAATTGACTGGAGATCTCAAGATCTAGGTTCAAAGAGACAATCAAATTGTATATGACTCATAAGGATCATTGGGGAGCCAAACTCCTACCCATTTCTATGATGAAATAGTGATATCTGCAGCGTTTTAGGTTAAGTATTACTTTTAATGATTCTTATATTTAGGCATACCTAATGGAGTATGGCAGGATACTTTTCATAAGAATCACCTATATGAGTGTGAACTGGGCCGGTTCTATGAGATTTGTGAAAAGTTACAATTCTCTAAAGCATTCATGAAAGACCAGGTTGTTCATGGTCAAAATGAACACAATAGTGAGAACTAAACTGTGCCTGGTAATATACTGTGTAAGTTCTATTGTCTTGGTTTACACGAATGGTTAAATAGTTCAAGACATCATATTCACTGGTTAGCTAATAAATTCGATAGTGTCTCACAAGGAAAGGTTCAAAATCAAAAGCTACCTATCCTTTGCAGAATATCACCGATTTCTTTAATCTGTGTTATAAGATCATGTTGTTGTATTTTCTCTTCGTCAAATTCCATTCATGTGGGGGATTGTTGGAAATTATAGTCTCTATAGGCTTATTTTTGGGCCAACTTTGAGTGGGACCCACACGTCCAAAGGTGACGTGTTTCTTGCCGTATGACAAGTCACACGGTGCAAACGATTCGTCAAAACCATTTATGAGTGAATGGGAAATTGACGTCGTTTTCGGGTTCGTGGAATAGGAAATTGAAGAGTTAAAAGTGGGTTTCCTTTAAATGGTTGTCCCACATTGAAACTTTAAGAGTGCTTGTGTGTGTATATAAGTTCTAGGTGGACAAACTTAAGTTAGGCCTCAATGGGCACCCCAAGTTTGTAAAAAGAAGGAGTTATGGACAAAGTAGGCTTTGGTTCAAACCACCACATACGCGCACGCCGGGCTCGAGGGTGGGTTGTGGGTCGGGTCGATCCTAATATTAATTTTTTGAACAAAATTTATTTGGATTTTTTTCAAAACTTCTTGCTGGAAAATTATTTTTTTCCTAAACGAAATTAATTCAAAATTTGTGCCAAATTTGAATTCAAATTTCCTGTCCAAACTGTGCTTCCTCTAGTTCCATTTTCCAGCAGATTTCAAACAGTTTTGAATTCTGCATCTGTTCAGTTTGAATTCTGCACCTATTCACTTTAATCTACACCTGTTCGGCTCTACAGATTTGAATCTGTATTTGTTCAGTTCAAATTGTTCCTGTTCAACCTTTCTCAACAGTCACCAATCTCTTCTAGCAGTTTGTTCATTCCGAAAATTCTCTACTTGCCTTCCATTTTTGCTCTCTTGCATAGATATTTTCTTCATATTAGTTTTAGACAAAAATTCTGAAAGTATAGAACATAGGTTCTAGTTCGCCGTACAGATTGTTTGGAGTGCTATTATAATCTGTGTAAGATCATTGTATTCTGAGAAATAGACGCCATTATTCCGTAAGCACCTGAGCGGGGCGAATCTGTCTTAAGGATAGAGTGTCATACACTCGACTTGATCATTTTTATACTTATTCGTTTCGGTAAATAAATTCTGTAAGTAATTTATTTTTATTTATTTAATTTGTTTCACATTATTTTCTCATACACAGAAAATTGTTCCAACAATTACTTGTTCTTAAATCAATACATCAGATGAAACATGAGAAACAATTCAACACCCAAAAAGAGAAGGTGTAGTGGGAGGAGATATGTTACAGAAATGTGTTCACAAAAAGGAGTGTTCGGTTCCTCAATCAACAAAACAAATGAATTTAATTAGCCGTCAACTGTAATCCAGGATCTATCACCGAAGCCTCTTCAAAAGCTTAGTCATCATCCTTGAATTCTCTGTTCAACACAAACACACGCTCCCATCAACAATATAGAATCAGAGACTCACATTTTATTTTGGATAACTGTGAGAGCTTGAATCCAAATAAATGTTCGCATAGAGAGAAAATCATGTGTTTTTAATGATTTTTTGGTTGTAGTATTGATCAAAATCCTTAACAAAAGTCTTCATACCTGCGATCAAGATATCGAGGTTGAATACCACTGCCCTGACATGTGGTGCACGTCAAAGAACCAGCACCGTCACAATTTATGCATCTTGAGGTTTCTTTCTCATCCCCACCGAGCTCTACCATCACAATGCCATTTCCCATGCAGAATCTGCACTTCTCTGGAGGGCAAAATTTCCATATAATTTCAGAGAGTAAAATTTCACAGTAGGCTCACACTTCTATAAAATACTGGTTCTGCTTCTACTGTCCTAGTAATGAAATAATTGTACTTCCAAAAAAGGTCACAAATTTGATTCTACTGACATTATTTCAGGACCCTGATGAAGATTACCGACTCAAGATTGCTTTTTAAGTAGCAATTAAGAACAAATAGTATACTATCAAATTTCGTAAACAAATCATAAAGTTATTTATGCTGTGAAGTCTATAAGCAAACCTAGAAAGGTCAAGATTGAGAGATTCATCCTGTACAGAGTTGTTTTTTAATACAAATTATTCTAGCTTGGGAGCATGATTTGAATAAACAAAACAATAATCCGCTCGACAGAGATAACAAAATGTTGGGTATAAAATTACAAAGCAAGGTATCGAGATCAAAAAATCAAAAAACAAAGAAAACAACAGAATTTTGAGGAGACTCAGTTGTGCAACAGCACTCGGATACATTAAAGATTTTTATAGTAGTTCAGACACTAGTATTGAATCCATGTTTGCCTCAACAACAACAGTGATGACAAGGTAAACAAATGTTTAATAGATAACTAAATTGGATGAGTCCACTAACAGACGATAATGTCATGATCAGAAACTTTAGGCGCCAGGGAAAAGGAAAAAGAAAAAGCAAAAACAAAACTCTCCCACTATATTCTCAAGAAATTTCAACTATTTTTATCAGTCAAACAACACCTAATTATAAAAGATAGAGCAAAGCAAAGACAATCCAATGCATTTAAAAAAGTTTGTAGCCATGAAAGTGAGATGAGTTATTCATGTTATTGATCCTCTCTTCCAGGATGTCTATTTTATACATAGTTCTAGAATTTCAAAAATGCAGTCTATCTCTAGAATTGCAATGCATCCCCAACCCAGAAAGCGAGGAATGTGCAAACAATAGACATCAAAAACCATAATTAGACCTGCTCAACTCTAATGAGCCTTACATGATCAAATCCGAGAGGGGCATGATAAAGAGGTAGAGAGTTCGTGAATAAATCTAAAAATATACACACATCTTTAATGCAAATTAAGATACATAAAGTTAACACATGGGAGATGAAGAGTCACATACGAGCACCGGAACCATTGCATGGGAAGCATGGCTGAGTGTTGTCTCGCTTCGCCTGCACCATGTTTAATATGGCTTTAGTTGACTAATAAACTAAACATTGGCAATTCCTACAAAATATATGTATGTATATATGTAGATTGTAGATAACTTGAAAAATAAAATATAGGGCAAATTATACCCGTCGTTCATATAATTTGCCTCTTGTGTCAATTTGGGCCGATAGTTTTCAATTATATCAATTAGTCCAATTGGTAACATTAGTTAATAAATTGGAGAAAAATCAAGGTCAAAATGATCAATTCAAAAATCAATTTGGAAGCCAACCCTCAGGATAGTGAATTGTCTATTTGACCACTTAATTTCGGGTGATTATTTGATAATTTAGGAGTACGGCCACATGGTGCGCCATGGTAGTATGATTGATGAAAAATGTGGAGTATTGATTATTTGTGTTAGGCGGTTGAGGAACACGAGGGCATAATGAATAATGATTGGTGAGAGTGTATAGCCATGTGGTACGCCAAGACTATTGTATAATTTTCCCTTAATTTCAATCTAATAGCTAAAACAACATTATTAATTGAATCAAATTGACACAATGCAATAAAATTGATGCAATTACAGACACGAGGAGTATAATTTGCAATAAAATACAAATCAAAAGGAAGGAAGGAAGAGAAAACTAACGGCGTTATCAATTTGGGTTTCATAGAAAACTGGAATTCCAATCCCGAGAGCAACGCTCGCAAACCCAACTGATATTGCTACTACCTGCAAATTTTGTTATTCCCCAAAAATAAAACTAAAAATAAAAAAATTGAAGGCAATAATATTAAGCAAACATTGAAGAAATAACAGAGAAATAACCGTGTTTTGATCAAGATCAAGAGCTTTGATGGATGGATAAGACATTGGTGACCGTTGATTTATGGCAGACTTGTGGTTGGAGAGAGAGGAAGAGAACCTGAGAGGGCAACAGATAAATGGAGAGTGAAGAAGAAGTGATGGTGCTGTTAACATTTCGTATTCCTTTTTACTTTTTTATGTCTCTCTCTCTCTCTCTCTAGTTTTGTTTCTTCCAAGAGTATGATAACAATGGAGTCTCTGAATGAACTCTTTTGAGACTTTCAGAGAGAAAATGAAGACCCCCCAATTCGAGCCGAACAGTGGTTGGTGGACTTTGGATTGTGTGGGGTAACAACTTACAACTATGAATCCATTTCAACCACACGAATTTCAACGGGCCCTACTTTTTAGGGCCGGGTTTGAACTGGGCTAAAGTTTGTTGGGCCGGGCTAAGGCCCAGGCCAGCCTATGAACTTTGAATTTTTTTTGATGAGGTTTAGGTGAAATGTAGTGAAAGAGAGTGGGAATTAAGGGGTGAGATGAGAGTGACAAGCCACTAAGAAAAGCTACATGGTTGGAAGGAACATGACAATGGTGGGAACATGCACTTCAACAGTGGCACCACCGGACCACGAAACACCACTTTTGTCGACATACTAGAATCCGAGGCTTCTGGAAAGCCTACCCTCCCCCATCCCACGTGCTTCATCATTTTTTTTTTTTAATCCAAAATGCGAAGATTGTGCTTAGTTTAAAATTTTGAAAAAGGATTTGAAAGCATAAAAAATAACGATGATATATAAATAAAATATATTTATATTTTATTTAATTTTACATATTTTTTTTCTTTTTAAATTTTTTTCAAATTTATGAATAAATACGATTTAAAAAATATATATTGTACTTGATTAAATTTTATTTTAAGTGTTATTCACGTCATACAAAGTATAAATTTGAACTACCACACCCTTTTTATGTATTAATCCGTATACCTAACTATTAATAGAGAGTTGTGGCTTGTAACCTAAGTGATGTATTACTACTAGTCATAAATTCGCAAGATCATGATGATTTTGTGGACTGCTTTCCACTTTCTTCGAGTTAACAAAAGTGTGTTGTGATGGAAATTTAGGGATGCTTTTATAAATAAATATATTTTTTAATTTTTTACGAAAGAATATAAAATATAAATTGAATTTGAAATGATGTATAATTCAAATAATATGATTGTAATCCAAGTAAAGATAATGCACTAAAATAATATTTATTATTTTAGCACATACTAAACACCTTCTCAATCTCATTATACACTGATACTATAAATGAGTTAAGTAGAGTTTATAAACGACCTAAGTATAGTTTACGAGTGAGTTAAACACGAACAAATTTTAACTAAGTCGATTTTGAGTTTGAGTATTTTAATTTTTATTATACATATAAAATAGTTGAATTGAGTAATTGGTTTAATTTTGATTTGAAAATTTAGGAACTTTAAAATTTGATTAAATTTAACTTATTTACATATTGAACCCATTTTAAGCCAGTTTTTATAAAATTAAATTTGAATAACTTTCCATCCCACCAAATTGACCATTAACGACAACCATCAACCGAAAGTGATACTGTAGTTATTGAAGGTAAATTATATTTCAAAAATAAATTTGTTCACATACTAACACATAATCAAATTGATCTAAAATATTGGATCTCATATTTAAAATGTATATTAATACCATCTAAAAATATTAACTACTATTTTGTTAATATATGCCTCTGCTGACTAACTTTACCTGCCAATTTTTTAACTTGTTGAATTGATGTCAAATTCAATAGAAATTTTTTGAAAAGTCAGACCACTTTAATTTTAATGTATTTTAAAATTGATTAAAAAAATTCAGACTTTTGACTTATAATTCGTTTAGATTAGTTGTCCATAAATTAAACTTAGTAGTTAGGAGCAAATTCAATGGGTTGAACTTGGTTGAATTTGAGTCATTTACGCAAAGAATTATTATTATTATTATAAGTTTCAATAAAAATAAAGTAAATTAGGAATCCCCATTGCATTTGAAACTAATCATTATCTTAAGAAATGTCATTAACCAAACACACACATGCATAAAATATAAAAAAAATAAAAATAAAATAAAAAAAGTGATGGTAGAAGTGAGAGTGAGTAAGAGTCACGCCTGAGCAAAGAAAAGGAAGCTATTACCATCCGAAAAAAGAAAAGAAGGGAAAAAGGGAGCTACCCAGCAAAAAGTAGGCTGCTCATAAAAAAAGAAACACATAAAAGTAAAGATGTAATACATGTTGGAAAAATGCTTAATAACTCAAATTTATATGATCTGAATAGCTTGAAATGACGTCATTTTATTCCAAAAACAACGTCGTTTTGAGACATTTGAATCATTCGAACCATGCGAATTCAAGTTACCATGCATTATTGTTGGGCCAATTTTGAGCCTATATTTAAATGGGGTCCACATATTTTTTGAGGTGAATCCAAGTGATAACGTATTCTCACCATGGTAAATCACATGTTGAAATTGATTCGTCAAAATTATTTATGAATGAATGGAAAGTTGACATCATTTTTGACTTCGTAAAATAGGAAGTTGAAGAGACAAATGTAGGTTGCTTTATTTTGGGTTGTTCCATGTTGAAACAATGAGAGAGTTTATATAAACTCTAAATTGACATACTGTTGGAAAAATAGTTTATATAGGCATATTTTGAACCAACTTTGAGCCCAAAATTGAGTGGGCCCCGAACGTATTTTGGGGCGGGTCCAAAGAGGTGAAGTGTTTCTTGCCGTGTGACAAATCACACGGTGAAAACGGAACGTCAAAACCATTTATGAGTGAATGAGAAGTTGACGTTGTTTTCGAGTCTAACATTAATTTTATTTTAGACAAAATTCATTTGAATTTTTTCAATAAAAAAAAAATTTATTGTGGGAATTTAATTTAAATCTAAATTCAAATTTTTGGATTCCTGAGTGGTTTCCTAAAATTTGTCAAATAGATTAATATTTATATTCCAAATAGTTTTTAATAAATCTTTTCAATTGAATTGGCTTTATTTGATTAAACTATTCTAATAGCTTAATAAGAAATATTCCAAACAGTTTTAAATTTTGTTCACCAACGGCTATGTTTTCAAAATTGTTTGGAAGGGAAAAAGAAAACTGTTCCATGTGATACGGGCAGAAACTGTTTGAAACAGTTTTGCACTGTTCACTACATGTTTTGTACCTGTTCGGGTCATTTGTTTGCCTATAAATACAATTCATTCCAACAGTGTTTGTGGACCCAAAATTTCAGTCTGCAATTCTTGCTTTTGCTATCCAAATTTCTTTTAGTGCATTATTCTTCATTTTAGATTTAGGAATAAATATTCAGAGAGTTAGATCACAGGTTTGGTTCGCCGAACAATTTGTTTTGGAGTGCTACTACAAATTGGTTAAGATCATTATATCTTGGGAGATAGACACCACTCAACCGTAAGCACCCTAGCAGGGCAAATCTGTCTTAAGGACAGAGTGTCACACACTCGACTTGGTCTTTGAATTATTTATTCGGTTCTACAAAATAAATACTATAAGTTTTATTTTATTTTGTTTGGATTGTTTTAATTTATATTATTTACACAGAAGATTGTTCCAACACATACTTATAATGGGCCCCAGAGGGCACCCAAAGTTGTGTTGGGGGAGTTATGGACCAAGCATGCTTTGCAATCAAACACTATGCGCGCCGCCGCAACTGTCCAGTTGGGCTAGTTGTGGGTTGGGTCCTACCTTTAATTTTTTTGGATAAAATTCATTTAAAATTTTCAAGGTTCTTGCAAGAAAATTTAAATTTCCAAAATGAATTCATTCAAAAACTTATGGGAAAAATTCAAATTCGAATTTTTCTGAACCGGTGCCTTCTTCGGAGGTTTAACTTCGCACTTGTTCGAAGGGTTCTTCTAAATAGACACCACTATGTCTATAAATATAAGGCTCTTTAGCAAATTCACACTATTCAATTGCTTTCCGTTTTCCTTCTTCTCTGCATTTTTTCTTCATATTAGTTTATAGAGATTTAAGAGAGTTGCAGAACTCAAGTTTTGGTTCGTTGAACAAACTATTTGTGGTACTACTACAGTTTGTGTTCTTGATTATTGTATCATGCAGGATAAATGCCATTAATAAGTGAGCACTTGTGCGACGGCAATTCTGTTTTAAAGACAGATTGTCACACACTCGACTTGATTAGTTGTTTTTGTTCCATTTTTCGGTGAAGAAAAGATTTTGTAAGTAATTTATTTGTTTGTTTTAGTTTTTTTTTTTATTGTACACAAAAGATTATTCCAACAATACATACTCTCACATTATATACACATTTTCCTTCATTATTTATAACTAAACAATAGTTATTAAGTAGTCAAGAATAATATTGTGACATGTGCATGTGACACTTCTGATTAATGAAGGAGTAAAACGAGAATAATATCTAATCAATTATGATTCTCACCTAATTATGATTCAACAAGTTGTTTTTAGTTTGAAAATACTATGTCAATATATCAAGTTGTTTTAAAAAATTACTTGCAGTCTCATTAGCTTGGGTTTAATATTTAAAAAAAAAAATGTAAGTAAGAACTATGAAAGTGTATAACATAACTACGACGATAATTGAATGACTAAAATGTTCAATATGTCTAATAAAAAAAAAATGTTCAACATGTAATTTCTATTATAGAACAATTTTTTTTTTTGAAGGTTTAGGCTAGGAGTATTTTAGTCAAAAAAATTTGCCTATTTGACAATGGCTTAGAGCATCAGCATCAATCTTTCTATAATGGTTTTGAAGTCATTGTAGAGAGAAAAGTTGTAAAAGTGTGATCCATCAGCCTCACTACATCCGTTTGTCATTTTGTCATCAGCATCAATTCATTCCTTGATGAAGTGAGCCATTGTTCATCGCTACAACAAACGAATTAAGTGTTACCAGATGTCTACCCAGAAGTTCAGCCGGTCAACTTGTTAACGACAATTTATTTTTATTTTTTTAAAGAATTGTTGGTAGGCAACTCATCAATTTAATAAATAAAAAAAAAGAATAACAAATACAATAAGAAAATAATATTTTAATATAATTAAGTTAGAATAGACAGGAATGAGTTAAAATAGAGAGTTTGATGTAGTGGATACTAAAAATGTAACTAGCTAAAATAGTAAAATAGCTTTTTAAGCTCTAATTTGACTAAGAATTTGAAGAGGGTGATGCGGATGCTCTTACATATATTATACTATTATTAAAAGTGAACAATTC